AATGAATTAGACTAAATGCTATTTGGCACCTATACCAAAATAAAACTTGTTTATGAATGTTACAGCACACTCATCCAAACAGACAACAGTTTTTAAGAAGAGAATCATGTTTCAGTAGATCTGTAAATAAATTAAAATTGGTCCTTGATAAAATTATTTTCTTAGACTTGATAAGAGAGATACTTTGTAGTTTTCATATAATTAAAATTAACAGAAATTTACTATACATTAAAAAAAATTGTGGTGATTACTGTATTTTTGAATGTCTGCATCTAATTGTTGTTTAATTGCATCAACAATTCAGATCACTAATTAGGCCACTGTGGCATCAGAGATAACAAACCAGTCATGAACCTCCTGGTATGGAAGCTGTGTGTGCAGGCTGAAGGGGCAGGAACTGGCTGTTAAATCCTTTCCAATGGATTCATCAGCTCAGTCACTGCTCTCAGAAGGATCTTTCTGCTCAGACATAGCTTCTGTATCAAAGCACTTGGTGACACCTCACCTGCTGAAAGGGAGGCTGAGCCAACAACAGTTAACACTAAAATGAATTAACACTAAAATTTGTCAATCCTCTTACAGATAATTCTGGTCTTGCAAGCAGTCCTCTAAATTAAACCATTTTTAAAAAGTCAAATTCACTACCTAAATGATATTTTATGGAGATCAATAACTTTTAAACTGTTAGAAATCTGTGTAATAGCTTGCCATGTGGGTTTTGTTAATCCCTTTTTGTGAACAAACAGTAACTGATAGTTCATTAAATTACATAATAGTGGTTCTTGTGAATTGTATATTGTGAATATACAATGACTTTGCTACAACATGTGTGCAATGTCCTGGTTACTGTGTTGATTTTCTAAATGCTTCCTTTGTGCTGATGTTTAGATTTGATATGAAGGCATCTCCTGGAATGTAATTAAAGATGTATTTTAAGCTTTTGTAGACATGATAAAAATATATATTGATAAGAGAGGTCTGTAAGGGAGGGTTTGTGCATCCCCTTCACCAGGGATCAGGCATGGCTGACTTGCTTTAGCTGATTACTGCAGTACATGATTTCCTAGGCTGCCCTCCCTAGTACAGAAAAAGTAATAGAATTTATTGTCAAGGGATATCTGTCTTAGAGGTATTTTTCTATGGTTCTTTGAAATGAGCTTCCCAACCTTATTTCCTTAACATTGTCTAGACCTTCCTGGAGAATGATAAACTGGCTAAACATTAGAATTCACAACCTTTCTTGGCTGAGCTGCATTTAGAAAAAAGAAAAAGGCAATTCAGCTGCTAGTTGGACATGATAGAAATGTGAAAAATTTTTGGACAAACTAAGTACCTTGTAATAGTAGTATTAGAATCCTTGGATTGACAGGTTTAGAATTTTCATTTCTTAATTAGAAACACTAATTAAATAAGCCACAAAACACACTCATAATTACTTCAAATTGCAGATTTACAGCTTTGGTAATAACTCAAGGCAGATGGAAAAAAGTGCATTATGGAGCAAGGGTTTTTTTCCCCTTAGCAGAGAAAGATTTCCAGCTAGGGATCCTATAAGACAGACAGGGTTTGTACATATTCTTAGGAGACTGAAACCTTCCTCTTATCTGCACAAAATTTATTTTTAGAAAGGATTGGGTTTTAACACTGTTGGGCTGTTAAAGGGAAAATTACACAGTGAAAAAGACGACAATACAAAGACCCCAAATTCTTCCACTTATAGCTAGAACATTGTGCCTAATAGGATTAGAGTTACTAGTGAAAGTTGAAGGTCTCTGCTCTAATTAGCATTCTTGAAAATGAATGTATAGGTATGATCAAATAAGTGACCTTTCTGTCTGTGGATAAAAGATGGATGTTGCTGGTACCATTTCTGATGGATGCAGAGGAGGGCCCAGGAATGTCCAGCTTGCCTTATTTTCTTCATATCTGAAAGGTATTACAAGAAGCAGCTTGTTTTAGTAGGAAGATGGATCAGGTAATCTTATCTTACCTTAACCTGTTTTGGTGCTGTGATGCTGCCCTGGGAATTGACTGGGGCACTGCTGCAGCAAAAGGAGCATTTCCTCACCCCCAGACAACATGAGGGGGACATTCAGTAAGGAATGGTGCCACATCCATCTTAAAAAGTTGTGTGCTTGCTAATGTTAGTCATTAGTGCACAGCTTCATAAATTACAACCTTAGTAATGATGGATTTAGGGACAGAACTCCCAGAAAGGAGGTGTTACTGAGGCATTCAAGGCCAGATACTTGTGTCAACAAATTCTTACTGCCTTGCCTACCAGTTGGCTTGCAGGAGAGTTCATGCAGCTGACTCAAGACTTTTATTTCTGAAGAATATAATGTCACCATTTTTTTCTAAATTACCCTCAATCTCCTGACTAGGGTGATAAATTGGAAAATGACAGTATTTACTGGAAGGGGAGTAAGAGAAGGTTCAGCAAGTACAGGACAGAGTGTACAGTGACTGGGTAAATCCAGTGCACTACAAATTCTGCAGAAAGCAGAGGCATTTTAGGACAACCTGTTTTTGCAAGTAAAATTAATGTGTAGGAATGACATATTGTGTAATCATTGGGATACTTCTTGACAGAAGTTATAAAGTCCTTGGCATCTAATATGAGAGTACCAGTTGAGATGTCTGCCTACCTGCTGGACTGAACTACAGATGCATTTTTTAATGAAACTCCCTCAAAATGGTAGTTTGCCAGTTTGACCTCCAAAGACAAAGGATTCTAGTTAGATTCTCCTTTCCATACTGACTTAAACTATGAAAGAAAGGGTTTGCTCTCTAGACTTGAAAAAAGCTGATGAAATCCTTCCTTTAGCTGAACAGCCTGAAGTTTTAACAAATTTCAGTATTTGCCTTCTGGTGATGGAGGATAAAGCATCAGCTAATAATTTTTCAAACACTTTGAAGAATTATTAGGCTGTCTAGCATTTTAAGACATCTCAAATAAAGTGATGCTGTTACTTGCTGCTTTCTCAGTTAAGCAAGTGGATTCTCAGTTACTTGAGAATATTTGAATCTTTTTAAAATTGCTTTTTTGTATTTTCTTTCAGAAGTAAACTCCTGTTATTTCAATTTGGTGTAAATCTTCTGTAATTTTAGGGCTGTTCTTTTGAAATAATCTACATCTTACAGTATGTGCTTAGGAAAGAGTTGTGACTATAACACAGACAGTAAATTTAGACTGCTCATTTCCATGGCTGTTTATTCACCTGATGCGTCAGAGCATCAGTACCTTCATTAGTCACATAAACTTCAGCAATTCAAAAGATTCAAATGATAGTTTAATGACAAAGAGTGAGCTTAAGCTTCCATTCAAACCCCTTGCCTCTGCACATTTTGGTTGGGCTCAGTTGACACATCCCTACACTGGTGTATCAGAATTAGGATAGGAAGCCTGTATTTAGACTTCTTTCAGTGAAGAATTAAGCAGTATGTGCAATCATGTTAAATTTTTTTGGGTTTTTTTGTTTTGTTTTTTGTTTTGTTTTTTTTTTAATGCAATCCCACTTTTCCTAGGCTAAAGGAGTTTTGCTTTGTGTCTTCCTGGCAGCAGTAAATTTGCAAAGCTTCCACGGACAAAACAATGGCATTTACTCCCCACACGAGGCATTCCCAGAAAATAATTATATGGGAACAGAGACCTTTGTGGACTGGAGCCATAAAGGGTAGTGAGAAATTGGGCCAGCCAGTACCTGTCATTCTGATTCACTCTTCTTATTGTTTTCTTATACTTTCTATTCTGCTTGTATTTTTTTTCACTCTTTAAAATGCATTACTGGCAGAGGGACTGTCAGTCTGTTCTGCACAGGACCAGTTCTAACTTACTTTTCAGGTAAACAGCAATATTTCTTTGTCTTTGTTTATTAGAGCTTGGAGAGTTTTGAATTACTTGGTGAGCTCAGAAACGAGATTCTATTGATTTCTCCCACTTTAAAAGGAAATCATACACACATGCATGTTTCAAATTTGATTTTATTTTTTTTTTTGCCACTATTAATGTCCTTGGAGTGCTGTGGACTGTACTTAGGTAGTGTCCAGTACAATGTGGCTCTTGTCCAAGCTTGGTCTCACTGGTATTTCCAGCCTAAAGGATGGAATACACTCCTGTCTTCCCTGAAGAGAACAGTCAACAGCCTGGTAAAGTCAGATGACTGCAAAGGAGCCAAAACAATTGGTAGCCCATTAAACAAAAATTAATTTAACTTTACTTCTATTCATGAGGCACCTGGGAAACAGAAATACCCCTCAAACTTGGAGGAGACTTGAAGATACTATCTTTTATTAAAGATGGGGTCTATAACGTAAGAGTTAAAACCTAACACTAAATTAAAATAATTGTTGAAAAAGCCAGTGTGCTGATTATGCTGAAAAGCTGACCATGCAAAAACATAGTGAGGACACCAAAGCATCCTAAGCTTGTTCCCATAGTGACAGCCTGAAGGCAGAGTTTTCAGCCAGTCCATACATGGGAACCTGAGGAACCCAACACTGGAATGTTTTACTCAGAGTTGTGTAATAGCATTCCAAACTTTGCATTTCACATCCACACCCTCTCCAAAGGAAGGAAGGAAAAGCTGACATAGAGACTCTAGGCCACTCCTCTGCAATTTGCAAAAAAGGAAAAGGAGTAGTAGCCCTTCTGCCACTTTTCTGTCTCTTTCCTACTGTCCAGAAACAAAACATCCCCATAAGGGCACTATGAAACTGGAACTCTCTCCAGGGACAGCAGAGAGCAGAGACAAAGGACAGCAGGTACTTGGTGCAGTGACTGTATTCCCACTGGCAGGCAGAAGCTCTGGAGGATCTGTGTCTGCTTGACTGTCCCAGACTTCCTTGACTTTGGCTGACCTTACACGAGGCACTGTCTTGAGTCAAAACTGAACACAGAGAACCTCAAACCACCAGAGAACCCTGTTACAGATAAACAGAGTTTGAAATCCTGCTGCATTTTGTCCTGATGTCAAAGAAAACTTTCTATCACACTTCACTTCTTAAAAAGTGTTACTTTTATTGACAAGTCAGTGGTTGAAATGTAATAAATACTAAACCAACCTTATCCATCATACACAATGGATCAATTGGCTTTTTTGCCTCAGGAAATGTGTGAGCAAGTGACCACACCATCACAGTTGTGCACACAAATCACCTGGATTGCAGTTCACAGTTTAAAGGACGTGATTACACATCACAGCTTAAATGGTGGCTTATGAAACTTCATCATGGGATTTCAGATATATTGGCTTAGAAATCTTCCTTAACTTTTCCTGGTGTCGCAATGTACGGCCTTGTTTATGGGCAAGGCCCATAGGAGGCAGATGGATCTGGAAAAGAAAATCCCACCAGTTAGGTGCATATTGGGAAGAAAAATACAAAGTTCACTCAGTTTTAAGTCATTTCTTCATACATTGGAGAGAGGGTAACTATTGTCTCAAGCCAGGGTAATAGATTTCTAGGAGGAGGACTCTCTGAGGAGTGATTAGTGGTACAACTTTCAGGCCCTAATTGTTCTGTTTATTAAAATAATATATATTTTAGACCTTAATAAAATCCTATATATGTAGGCCTTAGTAACTTTGTTTTGCAGTTTGGTATCAGGCTGCAGTGATACTTGATGGAATAGGATTGCTGACAATGTTCCAGAACATTGTAAGAAGTAGAAAACCTAAAAATTCTTGAGTAGATGTCTTGAATCACTGTGTGATTTATTCATACCTACTTAACAAGTCATAAAATAACCCCAAACTGTATGTATTGAAAGCCTGCCTTCTTACTGTCATGATTATATATATGGCACATTAAAATGCACAATCAATGTCATTGACTCTATAAGCAGAAGGAGCAATAGGTGACAGACTCTTCCTTTGATTGACAAAGTCTTTATATTTCGTAAGACTGTTAGTGGGAATCGTGCAGCTGTAACCCCCCTAAATGACTGAAAAATGTAGGTGGTAGCAGTCAGGTGTTACTGTTGCTGAGGCTGTCATCCTGTAAGATGGGTGTTTAGGTGCAAATAGTAGTAAAAGCACTGACTAAAGCAGCAGTAGAGATTTCTAGAAACTGAAAAATAATAATCATCCAGTTTGTCTGAGAGAGCAGATCTTTTGGGATTTTGAAACCACTGCAGAGAACACATTTTAGGCCCATTTCTATGAACATTGTTTGCCAGCTGTGCATTGTTATTCTGTATACTGAAACAGATGGTAACAGTGACCATAGTCTAAGCAAGCATCTGATAAAAATACAATTTCATTTTGACCATGACTGCCTTGATAAGGGAACTATAGATGTGAAATTATAAACTCATCAACAGGAGTTGAGAGGATGTCTCTATGGGAGGCAGCATAAAATATTACTGACAGAAGTGACTGGGCAATGAGGAAAATTTATTGAATGGTGCACTAGAAGACTTTGCTGCAACTTCCAGCATTTCAGTAATCTTGGACATGTTCTTCTGTAGGAAGAAGGGAAAAGAAGCAGCAACATAGACAGGTATTTCATAAGGTCTGATTTGTGACCAGGAGAACAGTTAACAGTAATGTAGGCTATAAAGATTATTGTTCCTATGGCAGATGTAATTCCTATTATTATTCTCTCATTCTCTTCTATTATTTTATTCCATTACCATGTTTTTTCTATATTCTTTGGTTGGCTAAGTATTCAGAGGCCTTGGGAGTTCAGTTCATGTAACTTCTTTAGGCTTTGACTCCTTATTTTGAGAAGAAATCCTACAATTTACAGTGAAAAATAGAGAACATCTCAATGTACATTTGGCTGTGCTTTAGCACACATTTAAATGCCAGCTCATCTAAAAATGCAGTGCAAGGAGAGTGATGGAAACTGATAGTTTTGTTATATGGAGAAAGCTCAGTGGGTATCAGTGAAGACTTTGTGATTGGTACTTACAGGTCTGGGGTAGGGGATGTTATAGTGAAGTCCAATTTCTATTCTTGCCTCACATTCTTCTATGCACTGCTTAATCAGCTTGGGATCTGTTACCTATGATGATCAGACAAACAAGGGTTTTTATATAAGTACAGTAATTAACAGTTGGAAGCTCAAGTGTAAACGATGAACAGCACGTGGCTTTCCTTAGCTTATTTTGGCAAACCCAAGGATACAATGATTGTGTTTTTCACATCCATAAATGGTAACACTGGTATTTTCCTCAGCTCAACAGTTCTGGGCTTGATGGTACTGAATGTTCAGGCATAGAGGCTGTCAGGACTGAGGCTACAGAAGGAGTTTTTTACCCAAACATGCTATTTTCTCTGTAAAAAGACAATAAACATATAAACTACTACTACATCTATGAAAAAAACACTCATCTGTTCCTCACTCTGCAAGGTCACCAGTGGATAAAGGAAAGACACTGCTTGGTGTACATTCTGTTATCATCCTATCCAGAAACTCTCTTTGAAGTCAGAAATGTGGTGTGAATTATGACTTAAATTCATTTTTTTAATTTTGCATTACTTCAGTTTTGTCCCAGATCAATATGGGATATAAATAAGTGTTGTGATCTTGAATTACAAGAAGGGCCTTTGATTACCACGGTTTGAAATTTCTTCCTTAAGAAAAAAATTAAAGTGCTTCTTTTAAAAGAAGTGCCAATGATTGCTGCTTTGAAAAGAAAAAAAAGAAGCTGCTGAGCTCTGTTTGCCATTACATGGTAATGATACACTTAGCTAACTTTGTAAAGATCAAAAGCTGCTTCAATTACACAAGCAGTATCTTTGGAATTTAATTTTTTCTTGGCTCTTTTTTTACTGAAAAAAGACCTTTTAGACTTCTACAGTAATTAATGAAGAGCTGAAATTGCTTGAGCTTTCTCAGGGATGATATTTAAACTGTAACCCAAATACACCAGCATTTAAGGTGAATGAAATTTTGGGAACTCAACCCTTATATTCCTATATTACCATCCAACCACAGAGTGCAAAGAGCAAGAGAAGAGTAATTCGGAAATTCAATACTGTGAGGACACTTACATTTTTGTTTTTTCGGAATAACGTTCTGGCTTCATTTCTAATGTACTCTTTCTCTCTCATGGTCTCCTCTATCTGTCCTGATGCCGACTGCCAGTTTTTGGCTATTTGCAAAACCTTGCGGTAAAGGCCAAGAACTTCCTGTCGAGTTGATGGTGTCATCTATAAAGACAAGACAAACCCCCAACATATGCATGAACATTTGAGTTGCCAAAAGGCCAGCAAGCAGGACATTTTTTCACACCATTCAATTAGTTTAAAAATATTTCTGTCATCCAAAGATATGCTGAGCTATATGAAAAAAAAAACCCCTGAAATAGCTGTAAACAGTAATTAGCTGTTGGAAGCTGAAGACTCAGTCCAGCAAAGTATTTATACAGATATTTAAATCTATCTCCATTCAAACAGCTTGAGCTCTTGATCAAAGTTAAGCACTTGGTTTAGTGCTTTGCTGAATCAAGCCTGGTACAAGAATGCCTTGGGTTCTGTTTCACTTATGTTTTGCAACAGACATTGGGCAAGCCACTGAAACTCTGAGCATCCCCCTTCCTGAGACATTGTTGTACCAATGCTGACCCTATCTTTGCAAATCTGTGAATGAAATACATGATAACACCGCCACAATATTGCTGAAAACTTGTATAGGCTGCAGGGGCTGAGAGGCTTATTCGTGATACCATGACAGTAGGCAGTAATGATTCAGCTGGAGTTTGATGTGATGAAAAGGTGATGAAAGCTATTTTATCTAAGCACTCAGGAGAGGCAGACTAACTGTGGATTTAGGAAAGTCCTGAATGTCTTGATTTTCAGAGAGCTGTGTACCTGCTGAGCCCACTGAATCAACCTTCAGGTGTGATAACTATATTTGTCAGTAGAAAGAATGAAATCTTATTCTTGCTTTATGTAAATGAGTATTTTATCATATAAGTGGTTACACAATTTCATTACAGACCACAAATTTCCCCGAGACAAATCCACTTCTGGATAACAACATTTCTGCCAAGAATTAAATTAACAGAAAAAAATTACTTCTGCTTAAGGGGCACTGCAGCTGTCAAAGGCACCTCACTGTCCCAAACAAAGGTGCAGCAGCACTGCCAAGTAAGTACATGGGTGCAATGAGGAACAAGTGTCAGAGACAGGATATTATCTGACTATCAGGATCCATTTGACAGCCTGAAGCTCTAATTACTGTGGGTGAATCTACCCTGAAATCAGACCTGTGTGCTGGGAATGGACAGTTTGGAGGAGAGTAATTGAAACAGCCTGACCTTCCCATGAGGAAAAGCTGCTTCCTAATGTAGCACCCAAACTACTGTGGGAAGCTTGGCAGTGTGCTATGGCTCAAATGCCTGCAGTCTGTGGCAGTTCCTGGAATTCTGGGTTGCAGAAGAGGGGCTTGAGCCAAAGGCTTCTCAGGCTAAAATGTTCTTGATCTGCTGCCTCCAGTGCAGTGGTTGACCAGAACCAGCCTCCTGTGACTCCAGACACTCTGACCCTCTTTACTTCACCAAAGCTGCAATTACGGATGCTAACCTGAACACAGGATTTGGCTCATGGTTCTTTTTCATAAAAAATCCTGAACTATAAATTCCTAGACTTAACTGCTGTTATCTAAAGACCTTTTGTGGTTTCAAGAACTGTTTTTCTCTGATTCTTAAAAGCAAACATTTTTGTTTTGCTATTCCTATTTTAATGTGTTTAACCAATCATATCTTCTTCCCCCAGATTGAAAAATTATTCTTCCTACACTGCACAAAGTACTTCTAGTAAATGTTTATGGTATTTCTAGGAAATAAATTCCAAAATAATATAACTAGGTAGTCCCAGCTCATCAAACACTTTGGAGTAAGTGCTTCACTTCATCCACTCTAGGGCTCCATTTCAGGCAGTGAAATCAGTCAGACATGAAGGCACAGATGTACATGTATCTGAAAAATCACTGTTTCCCTCTGCTAGGTGGACATTTGGTACAGAAAAGAGACAGTTCAATTACAAGGGTTAACCTAGCACAAGCAGAGTCCCAAATTCTGGCCTCACCTAGGGCCTCTCCTGACTTCCCCCCTCTGTTGTTATCTGAAGGTGTCGCCTCTGAGAAGCTGATAACAGCTTCGGTTTTCATGTAATCCATAAAGAAAATAAAAGGAACAATGCTGGGAATAAAAATATTTAAAATACAGGTTTCAGTTCTGATCTATGCATCAGACAATTTCCAAGGTGACAGCTTGGGACAGAACATGCCCTGTGTTCAGAGATGACTATACCTGCTGCACTTGGATTTTAAACATACCAAGAATCTGTTTATAAAGATTTTATTGAAAAGTCTAGAACTAACAATTATTTTCCCCACTAGTTGCTTCCACTCCCCCACCTACAACTCACTCTTTTGTTCTTTAGCTTGTCTGTGCTGGAATTGCTACAGAACAGTGTAGCCCCTCATCTAGGCATGGGCTGCACTTCTGCATTCTTGCTCTCCTTCCCACATATGCTGGATGATGTAAAAGACATTAAGCAGCTATTCATGTATGCTCAGCAACCAGCTGCTCCCAGGGCTCATTTAGTTAACAATTCTTAACATTACAGACCTGCTCATAAGCTATTTCTGCAAAGATACATAAATGAAGGTATGAGTAGCCCTTTACAGATCGAGGACTTCTGTCTATGACAGGAAAGGATGAGAGCAAATAATATGAAATTCAAAGCCTGGGTCAGATTCTGATCTGAGTGGGAGTATAAATAGGGAGTAATTCCACTGAGAGCAAAATTACTTCCAACTTAAAATGTTGTAAATGAGATTGGAATTTTTCCTTTAGTATAAACAGAGCCCACACTGACAGAAATGTAAGTGATGGTACAAGTCATGTATCAGGAGTAATTTCATCAAGTGACACTACTTGTATTAGTTTTGTGGGTGTGCAAAATGATTCTGAGTGGGATAGAAAGGAAGATAAGGGAGGCTTTCATGTCCTTGTAGTTACTCATCTTGCAACTTACATCTTTGGCATTTAAATCATAATTATATTTCACATCTCTGGAATGCTAAGTGGATGTTACACCACTTTCCCACTAACACCCATCTTGTGGTAGTCACACCCATTGTTTAACTTCTACCACCCTTCATTTTACTGCAGCATGCAGCCCACAGAGGTTAACCACAGACCTTTCTGTCAAAAAGTATAGGGCTATTGTATTAGCCGAGCAAATTTTGGGTGTTTACTGCCACAAGGCAAACCAGGAGAGGTCAGAGGTAGGTGTGTCTGCACGGCTGTGTCAGTGGGGAAAAGCAGGGGGTCGCAGTTTGGAGCCCACTGTCAGAGCCCAGGCTTTGGAGGGAAACCAGGCATTGCCTCCCAAACAAGCCCTGGTGGGTGCTGGGGCAGAGCCCGACAGTGCAGGGCTGTAACGCTCCCCTGGTCTCTGTGCAACCCGTCTTATCAAATCACACATCACATACCTGAAACATCCCACTGTATCCAAACTCCAAAGCAGATCTGAGCAGTTAATGACTTACTGCATGGTGAACATGCAAACATTTTTCACTGTTAATTAAAACAAATAGTCCCTTAGACTATAAAATGCAGTAGGTTTTTCTTTCTGGAAACAAATACACATTCCTTTGGATTGTTAGATGATTGACCCAAAAGTTCAATAATCTGAATAATCTATGAACCACCAGTCTTATTTTGCTATTTGCAGGCTTGTCTAGAATTTAAACTAAAAGTTCATATAAAAACAATAAAAGGAATCTGCCAACTGCACTATACAATGTCCCCAACAGGACAGTGTCAACTAGGACAGAAGACAGACTGCACCAAGACTGACTACAGATGCAGGAGCAGCTAAACCACAGATGCTTCCCAGCAGGGGATACTTGGCTGGGAACACATGTCCAGCACACGCCTCCTCTGCACAGCTCCTCTGGTAAAGTTGTAAGTCTATTTTAGTTCATCCTTTCTTCTAAAGTCAAGCCTTAGCTACTCACTTTAAGCATAAAATCTGCCAGCAGTGAGTACATAGAGAATTTTAGAAAACAGAGGGTGAGAGGAAGAGCCCATGGGGAAAAAAGGGCTATTTTAAAGCAACTGATCTCTTCTTTCACATCCCAGCTAACTGGGGCATGCGTTAGTAATGCACACCTAGTGCTGGTGCTGAAACTGGATTTGCTCAGGGGAGGTGGGGAACAAAACCCTGCATGAAATAATTTGAAAAGGCAGCTTTGAATTTCTCAGACGTAAAATGTTTTATTTAGGAGCAACACAACTTCTATTTAACAGCTGGTTTGCTACTGGCAAGGAGTCTAAAGACATAGTGACAAACTGCTGGGCTGACTGCCTTCCAAATTAAGCTGCAATCACATCTCTGTTACTGAAGTAAATATGTCATTCAAGACCACGGTGTATCAACACTGCAGTAGGGAACACCACTGTGTTCCATACTATGTGCCTGTAAAGTAATCCAGCCTGTATGCTGTATGTATAGCTTCTACTTTCAAATGCACTCTGGCTAATGTTTATTTAAAGAGATGCAGAAAAAAATCATATACCTGCTTTTTTTTTTTTTTAAGGAGCTAAACAATGCCACTTAGGTAAAAAATGACCTGCAGTCTCTCTCCTGCTGCTAATGCAGCAGATAATCAATCATTCCTTTCAGAGCTCTCCACAGCAATGAGAGGTCAGTAATCCATATTCATCTTTCATGCAACTCTGCCAAAATGAGTCTGTGGTTCCTAATGCAGCAGTGAATTTGGACTGTCATTTCTTTGAGAGACAACAACAGAGACAATGAGTTCCTGTGGCACAGGGGGCAGAGAAGGGGTCACAGATTCCTGTGATAGCTGGGTAGGTCACATGCCTTCCAGCAATATTAAGTTTCAAAATCTAGCTTCCACAAAAGTAATTTTGTCCTCTTTTACTCAAATCAATGACTCAGTGGCCTGTGACAGTACCCTGCAAGTACACCAACCACACGTGGCTGCAGTATCTACTGGCAAAGTGAAAACTTCGTTTGATTTTTATTCATGAATGAACATTCATAACGTTTTTTAAGATTCAGGCAAAACCAGATCCTAGCAAAACCTCCATCACAGCTAAAGTATTCCATCTTCACGTGGTGAAAAATAAATAGAATGAAAGATCATGTTCTTCCATGATGGTGTTACATCCTCATTTCTACAAGTGACACAAGCCTGTATATTTCTAGACATTCTCATCAATTTGATTCAAAGATTTATTTCTCACTCTTTCCATTGACAAGCTGAAATCATAAATGCATGCAGATTTGGTGAAAAAGAATGAAGTTACTGAACCAAGATATTCCATAATGGTATCTAAAAGCAGGGTGACTTTCACAGGGTTTAGGATTTTGTCATGCTGGTGTCTTTCTGCAGGCAAACTGAAATGATCTGAAACCTCAATCAACACCTCTGATCCAGACTCCCTAAATCATTGTACTCACACTGTTCAGCAGCTGGGATGGGAACTCTGCTGTTCTATCTGTGCCTCAGATTTCTGACTGAACTTGGACCTCTTTTAAGCTTGCTCTTGCATATGGAGCAGTCTTTTGATCAGAAAAAGCAAACTGTATGCAAAGAGAATATAATTAAATAGTAAAACAAGGACATGGATTTATCGCCGTTTCCTATGTCAGTTCAAATAAGCCAATTCACACAAAATTATGGTTCTACAACATTCTTTTCACTTGAATAAATGAAAGTGGAAACCCTTTTTGATCACTGGGTTTTCATTCTCTTAGTCTGAGGTGGTCGAGGCATTATCTGGTTTTAGCAGGACATAGAGACTTGCCCTGGAAGTTTATGTTTGTGTATTCCTGTGCTTGCAGGAGCCTCAGGAAGAATGGAAATGCTGACTTAGACTGTGGGAAGGGAAACAAAAAAAAATTGTTTTACTTATTTCTTAGCTTTCTCATGAAAATCACAGAGTGGCTAGGTAAACTGTAAAGCAATATGAACTTGTCTCTAGTCTTGTCCAGCTCTGTTGTTCACACTTTCATACCATTTTCTCCTCCTGTGTGTTTAGTTTCGTATTACTTACAAGCAGAGAAAGATTTTAATGCAGAGTGAGAAATTTAGCAGAGAAAATGAATTCTCAGCTATCCTTGGATGGCCTTGCTTATATAATATAAAAGCATACAGAAATATAACAACATGGACACAAGCTCCAGCATAGATTTATGAACCTTATTCATACCTTGGCTTCCAGCCAAATGCAACTGAATGCATGGATTGAAATATTTCCCAGCATTGGAAAAGCTCCCAAGCTCAACAACAGGTATAAATATTAATGCTAGCAGAGACAAAATCCTCTCTGACTCTCTTCTTACTTTATTCTGCGGGTCACTCAATGACAGACATGATTTTTAGTTGCTGTTTGAGAGCCATAGCAGGGTCGTGGGCAGGGAGGGCTGTGGGACACAGGCGATTTAGGAAAGACCTCTGAGCCCATCGAGTCCAGTCTGTGACCAAACACCCCCTTGTCAACCAGACCACGTTGTCTTTCCTTAACATCTCCAGGGTTGGTGACTCCAGCACCAAACAGGGCAGCCCATTCCCATGTCTGATCGCCCTTTCTGTGATGTTCTTCCTCATGTCCAACTTAAACCTCCCTTGGTGCAGCTTCAGATGCTGCCTTCTCCTCCTATGGGCACTGAGAGCTGTGGCCCCTGAGCACTGTGGGCTTGGAGTGCTGTGTGTCAGTTAACGCTGTGGGTCCCAGACCGCTGTGGGTCCCAGACCGCTGTGGGTCCCAGACCGCTGTGGGATACCGGGCCATACCGGGCCCCCACGGTCGCTGCCACTGTCAATATGGCGCTGCGGCCCCCCTTGACCTGGAGCCGCACGGCCACTAGGGGGCGCTGCCGACGGGGGCGTGCTTGCGCCCCCTGGTGGCCGGGGCGCCCTTGCCCCCGCAGCCGGGCGGAACCAACGCGCGAANCGGTGCTGCCTCTCCCCGGGGTTTGGTTCTGCTGTTATTTTCCGTTCCGCTGTGTGCCGTCTGCGGGTTCCTAAAACGTCCCTTACGGTGGTCGCTGCGGGCGGCCCCGCAGCCCCCCAGGGCCGGGGGGAGCGGCTGCTTTGTTCGGGTGCGCTTCGTGCCCAGCCTTCTCACGTGTCACGCTTGAACGGGAACGTTCGTAGTGTTTTCAGGAGAAAGAGAAATAAACTGTAAAGTGATTTATTTCCAAGGTAGTTCTCGCTATCTGAACATACTCCCTTCGCACAGCCAGTATTTTTTCCTGCTTCAGCTCTCCCTCCCTCCCCTGAGCGTGTTTACCCTTCCTGTGCAAGCTGCAATCTGCATTAATCACTCTCTGGGGCTGTGGTGGTACTAATAAGCTACTCATAACAACTTAAATTATAACTTGCATAATCAGTGTTTCGAGCAAATATTGGTTGGAAGAATATGCCTATCCTATCAGTGCTGTGGTTGCTGGAAAGAATAATTGATTATCTTTTAAATAGTTAACACTGCTGATATGCTGCCCTTCAAAATGTTACATTGATAACTGAACAGGCTGATGCCAAGTGTCAGAATACAGCATTGATCCACAGCTGGTAACTTTTCTGAATGGTAGTGTCTGACACATAATTTAAAGGGGTAATGAGTCAAGTGCTCTGAAAAAAAGGGGCATAGCTGTACAAACAAAAAGCACAGAACTGTCTGACCTTTTTCAAAATTATAGGCCTCACTGGCAGGGTCTTTTTTTACACTGGCAGGTGTATTTTTTTGAGAGAACAGTTGACCAAAAGACATTATCTAAACAAATTCTTGCACGTTTAAAAACCTCTTTGTTAAACCGGTAGTGTGTAGCTACAGTATTAGTGTTTTATTTGGGCTACAGCAATGGGAAGAGAGAGTGTCTGAGTACTTGTATCCCTTGACTGCATCTGAACACTGCTGCATGTTGCCCTGGTGAAAGGTAATCCTCAGAAAAGGAAACATAAGTCCCTTAGTTAAGATTGCATGTGAAAGTAAAGAGATCTGACCTCATGTTCTTGTCAGTTCTGTAGTCTGTCTTCAAAGTCTCCTCTACACAGGTATGTCATGGTGGTCTGTGGAAAACATTCACTTTTACATGACAGGCAGCTCACAGTCTGAAGCAAAGGTTTTCTGCACATCAGCAGAAAAAGGAGAGCTTGTGATCTGTATTGAATTAGTTCAGATTTGCAGAGTGCAACTGACTTTACAAACTTACTGCAAGAACTGGCTCTTGTAATGATTTCTAAAACTCTGATTATTTCCTAATAGCAAGTTGTATGTAGGCATGAATACTGTAATTCTTAAAAAAAAAAAAGTAATACAACTAATAACAGGGGAACTTACAGCTTTGGTACTACTTGGCTGCTTTCTTTGTGAGACTGACAGCCTGCAGTATGAGTTGTAATCAGCTCATGTAATCAGGATCTTCAAGGCTGTGTTAAGTGCCTTTTCTGCCCAGATTCTTGCTTTATTTTAAAGTTGAATGTTGTTGTGTTCATAGCAAATTCTCAATGATTTTGTCAGTAGTTCTTATAATTTGTTGATCTTGGAAATTCATTAATAATTACATCTTGCTTCCATTTAGCATGAACTATGTTGAAAAAAGACAATCAGATCAAGGAGTGTCTTTGAGAGAAAACCAAGAACGACTCTTTTGGAAGATTCTCATTGAAATTAATTGAAGAAGTATATATTGAGCAAGGAGGGCTGCCAGACAGTTTGACAGACTTCTAAGATGTGTTCTGATAAATTTGTGAGTGGATAAGTTAGGGTCTTGGTTCTGCTGCTTGCTTTGGTTCAGCTTAAGGAACAGGAAGAAATCCTCTGTGTTGGGTGTGTACACAGGGGCAATGGAGTATAAAGTAGATGGAAGGGGGATGGAAGGAGGGGACAGACACAGCTTCTGTACTTGCATTTCCTCATGGCAGAAAGGAATGCATGGAGGGCTTGGATACAGAGATGCATGGCTGCATGTTTGAAGGAGTGAGAGTGCCCCAGCACTGCTCAGATCTGTCCCACACTGAGGCACTTGATTTTCTTTATTGGTTCCAGGGAAATGTTGGTAAATTTAATTTAGAGCCTTGGAACACTATAAAATACATCCTGATGGGGTTTTGGCAGTTTATAAGAACTTGCAAATTGCAGAAACAGTATTGTTCCATTAGGCACATGGGTCTGTACGTGAATGTAACAGGAAAACTCTGCTCTGAGTAAGAAGAGACTATAAAAATAGAAGGATAGGATGTTAGAAAAATAGTCCTTTCTTTCATCCTCAAAAATACAGAAGGAGCTGAATATTGGTAGCCAGAATTCTTGGAAGGCTGAAAGAACAATCTGTAAACACTCGAGGGACTTGGTAGTCACAGAAAGATAAGGGGGAACCCCCTTAACAGTTTCATCAGAATTCCCTGGCTGGGCTCCTTCTCTTTGGCTGCTTCTCCCTAGGGGTCTGCATCTTATCTTGCTGGCTTCCTTTCCTCTATTTGCCTCTGACTAATAGGCTTTGTCTTCTGGTTACTGGAAGTCTAATAAGTTCTTTTGTCTCTTACCCCTTCCTCCTTTTTAAAAATACTAGATTAATGGCTGTAATGTTTTGCAGACTATGTGCATTGGTGACATGGATTAATTGTGTACTTGACTCTTAAGTTACCCAGCAGTAATGACATAGTAACTTGACTTGAAACAATGGTAATTTCGTGGCAAATGTTCAAGGCAAATGTTGCCTTCTGGTAAAGTGCCAACTTCAATTTACCCCCTGTAAACATGTGACACAGGTAAACTGTCTGTGCAAATTTACTCCGTGTCTTCTGTACTGTAAGTCGCCTCGAGTGTGTCTTTTGAAACAGTCAGTGATTTTTCTCCTCCCCCCATTTCTTTTGACTCTCGCTTGAGTCAGGTAATTACAGATCTGGGTCGAAACCTTCCCAGGGAGTGATCAGGAAATCCAAGACTTGCAGACGTGCTCCCATTGCTCACTGGCACCTTGGCTTCCCCCTTCCCTGTGGATGGTTTGTGGATCTACTTGGCTCTTGGTGATGAGATGTGGGTGAGCAAACGGGAGAGCCCAAGGCAGCTGGGGGGTTGGCAAACCAAAGGGAGCTCTGATTTCTCCTGCACAAATGCCAGTGTTCTTTGTGGTCACATGAGGAGGTTCTTCTTGTCACATGTGGCTTTGGTGTGATAATGTGGTGATGCTTTTACATTCTGATCTCAGTGCTGACCATAACAAAGCAAATAGGGAACCAAAGCCTCTTGCCTAAAATACAATCTGAGAATTGACCCATTTATGTCCCCATTTAATTCATGTGTCATGGGGGGCAGCTCTCCAGTCCGATGATCTGCATATTAAAGGAAGAAGAAAATCTGGATTTTAGTTAAAGGTTATTAATTACAATGTTTTGCTGGTAGAAGAATGACAGTTAGGGGACTACTTAGATGTAAGTATTAAAGAACTGTTTTACAGAAGTAGGAAAACTGTAGAGAAACCAAGAAAAGCATAGGTGGTGAGACAGGATTCCAGTAAGGAGAGTAAGCTAGTATAATCTTCTGGTGTCTCAGAAAGAATGGTTATAAATGCTGTTCTGTCTACAGCAT